TTTTTCCTTTCTCGCACTTCCAGAATACTTTCTCTTCCCCAGTTTTTCTTCTTTTTACATTCCATTCATCTGGTCCATCCTCTACGTTTCTTTGTTCTGCCAGTTTGAGATCTCAATGTTGTCCTTCATGCCCTCTCTGGTTCTCCCATTGAGCCTATTGAAATATGTTCCTTGTACAGCATTCCCTATTAAGACCTATTTCCTCCCCCTCCTGGCACGTGGTAGTTGATGTTCCAGTATTTATGCCATTAATGTTTCTCACATCCTTTACCATTCCTTGTATGTAATCCACTATCCAGATCAGACTTTCCTTCCCAGGATATTGGCTGCCTGGTAATGTTGTTGGGCCCTTTCTCCTACTTCCTTACGTTCCTTTTCCCACCTGTTCTCCCATTCAGATCTGGATAATCTACTTTGTCAAGTTCGTTACCTGCTATGATATATGGCTCATACTTCCTTCTTTCATGATTCTCATTCCTGTCTCTTTGTTCCAGGGAATTCCTCTGTTTCCCATGATCTTTTCACCTAATATGCTCACTGGTTGGGTTTCTCAACTTCATAGAACTGACATATTTTGACATGTCCATGGATGGTCACTTTCTACATCATGTTTCTTCCCACCAAATTTGTCATCTATGTCTTTAGCTGCTCACAACCTCCATCTTTTAGAGGAGATTGTTCAGGCTGGTATGTGGACAACTCCCAATACATTTGTCACTCTTTATCTGCACAACATAGCTGTGTCTTCCTCGAGCAGGTATTGTCTTCCTTCTGTGGTGATTCTACACATCTGTTCACCTTTGCCTGGAGTAATTCAACATGTTATAATTTTTTTACATTAATTCGTTGATATACATCATATCTCAGGATCCCACCTAGTGGTGGGTATTGCCTGGTCAGGTATGCTTAATATTACATAATTGGCACTAAAACTGTATACTTCCATACTGCTTACTGAAGAGATGGAGTGTTTGTGTAAAACCACTGGCTACTTATCTGGTGGTGTGTATATATATCTATCTATTTATTTTATTCTTTTAGTTATCACTGTATTGTATATAAAGGACTGTCACTCATGACTTCATGAGTAAAGCAGATGAGGATTTTTGTCCATCCCTACTGACCCATGTTTCTTACAATCAGGGTCTTTCTGCTTTTTAAAATAGTGAATCACATACACACATTGCACTGTCTCCAGTGTGTAGTTACTCTGGACTCCCCAATGCATATTCCTTCCCACTCCATTTCTTCTAGTAGAGCACAAGGAGTCCTTGCCACTTCAGGTTCCCAGCCGTTGGAGTGGTGGGATATGTACAATAAAACAAACTTCATACTCATATGTACCCACTTTTTTTAGAAGAGGGCTTTTGTCATTACATTTCATATTATACAATATCATTATATACTAAATAAAAGGTGCTTCTCCTGGATGTTTTTTGCTTGGGCTGAATGCACTTGTTGTTCCCCTCAATTTTTTTTTTTTTTTTATGCAAGGAGCTTCTATTGGATGTTTTCACTTGGCTATCTTAATACAAGTCCAAGGCACTTTTCTTGGATGTTTTTTGCCTAGGTAGACTGCACTTGTTGATCTTACAGTCTTATGCAAGGTGCTTCCACTGTTGTTTTTGGACTGGATGGACTGCACTTGGCATGATCTGATGTATCCCTCTGGATGTTTACTGCCAGGGTGAACCGCACTTGGCCTATTCATATCCATTTATGGTCCTTTAGTCCTAGCCATGTATTCTTATATCTGATTCCAGGCACCTTCTTCAAAATGTGACTATGATTGTGTCACGCACTCCTGTTTGTTACATATGTGGACATCGTATGTACTATCTGTTGTCCATGTGCAGAATCTGTGTTACATGACATGGTGCCTGTTTATTAAATTCCTCCCTATTTGTCTTAATTTATTTGTTACTTGGTGAAGAGCATACCTGTTCCAGAGGTAGTGTTATACTCCACACATGTGCCTCCTTTTATGATTGTTGCACCTCTGCTCTTTCATGGTAGTTGTTCTCCATTTGTTTGAGTTCCTTTGTGCCTTCACCAGCCCCTCCATTTTTGCAATGTGAGATTCTAGTTTTTGGGTGAGAAGTAGTACTGTTTTGGAAGTTAACATTTTATAAAACTGAAAATGTATTTCCAATAGGTAATTACCCCCTTTCACCCAATTCCCGCCCTTCCTGATCTTGCAATGTTTCTGGTTTGTATCTGCCAACTTTTGAAAGTGAGAATTGTGCTACAATGGTTGAGGGATGTTGGATATACATGACTGTTTAGTGTAAGCATTATTATTTAGTTTATTTTGTGACTTATTACTTAATGATTGTTTACTTTTCATGACAGGAGTGTTGAAGGTTGATTGTTTTAAAAGCGTTAGATGTGAAAAAGTTTCTTACATATCTCTGTATGAGTCGTATGCTGTGTACACAATTAAATTGTTGTACTAAGCTTTAGTAATATCGTTGATGTCATGTTACTCAAATCTTTGGTATATTTCTCATTCCATTATAATGTCACATAGTTTATAGAAAGTTTGAAGCCTCGGTGAACAAAGTGTATACACAGGTGACCAAGTGAACGCAAGTCAGAAAAGTTCAGTAAAGTGAAGATAGAAAAAAGTTAGTTAGTTACAGAAAAACGTGAAGTTAGCTGGTGTATGAGTGATTAGCCTTAACAGGTGATATCTTAAAGTGAGTTTCACCGTTTATCAGAGAAAAGGAGAAAAATTTGTCTTGTCAAAGGGTGTTCTAAAGTAACTGAACCCATCTGTGTGGACATAAACGAAAAGGAAACAATTATTTAAAATCCGAGATACAACTGTGGTAACTTATGGAGTAATGAGCGAATTTAATGCAGATTGTACAGTAAGAAACAGAGTAGAAAAAAATAATTCGTCCTGTCAGTTGGATTCTAAAGTAATTCAATCAGCCTGTGTGGACTTTTGAGAGGAAAAGATAATTATTTAAAGCTTTATATACAAGTGTTATATCGTATAGTGTAAAGAATTTTTGTACATACGTTGTACTTGTTTTGAATATATTATCTTAAAACAAGTGGATTGTGTGCTGTTCATTTATTGTTCAAATTTATCGCCAACAAGTCACAGACGTCTACTATAAAGAATCCAAGCCCACATATATAAGACCCTGACAAGGGAGCTACCTGCACTAGTATAGGTGGTGCAGTATGATTGGTGGAGGGTAGTCACATGATCAGCACATGTTGCTGCAATGGTGCAAAAATGAAGGGATATAAAAGACTGGTGCACTATTGAAAATTTTAGCAGTGCTTAGAGGGCAAATCAAAGTCGAGATAGTTATGGGTGAGATGAGGTACATACCTATTCGAAATACCTTTTCACTGTTAGAATATGTTAACATTCAGGATTTTGTTTCTGTAAAGAAGAATCAACAATTCTCTGCTGAAGTTTACACACCATACAGTACCAACACCATGCTTAATATCTCTGTTGAAATGTGGCCAGTAAAATTGTCACTGCACATTAGTACAAATGTATTGTTACGTCTCTGGTCGTTAGTTAATTTCCCATATAATTCTTTCCGATGAAACTTTAGCTACACAAGTCCTTTCTTAAATAATACTGGTTTATTCTTTCTGAATACAACTTTGCAATACACTTAATTTCCACAGTCACGCTATAACAAATGCTATAATTCACAGTGAACGACTCACGTGCTCGACTCAACAATATGTCTCTCTCTGTCCGCAGTTCAATTACACATTGTTGCCATCTATTCTTGGTGGCTTATATATGCAATACTACTGCATATCTAGTAGCCTCTTGAGACTTCAGGAAGGGACGTGAACATTCTAGAAGTTCATGACGTGTTACTAGCGTCACGTGACTTTCGCTGTCATAACAGTATGTAACACCTTGTTGACTTCCATTCCTTGCATTATGCAAAGTCTGAAGAATTTCCTGTCTCACCTGACTTGTTAGTAAGTTTAACATTCCATCAGCCTTTCCCATGAGAAATTACATGTGACACCTTAATTGAACGACACAATATGTAGAAACATTTTGAAAAAATTTATATTAACTAAGGGATAGGAAACACATGGTGTGTCCACTAACTATATTACAACCTTACCTGTCATTTCTGAATTTAAGTCAATGGAAAGAATAGTTTTCATGACTTAAAATAGATATGAAAAATAAATGTTGTCATCTTATAATGTTTTATTAGATGACGTCCACTAATTCCAAATTTACATGAAATTTTGCTCTGTAGTTGAAGATAACTTATGTTGTGATACAATTTATGAATTGAATAATTGTTTTTATTGCAAATACAAACAGCATGTTGATAAAAGAGAAAACAGCAAGAGAGAAACACTGTTAATAATTTGTTAAAGTGGTTTCCATTCCTGTTGGTTTTATAGAACAACTAGTGTCCTTGTTTTTCTTCTGTATATTTTGCAATTGTTTTTAAGCATTTTTTTCTGAAAAAAGTATAAATATGAAAGACATAGTGCTACTGTTACGATGTATACAAACATCATTGTTTCATTTTTTTCCTCAAGATAAGACACAAACTTGACATGTAGGCTAGATCATTACACCATAATGTATTTTAATTTGTATATAAATAATGAGAATACAAAAGTCGATAAACAATAAAAGTATATTCTTTATGATAAGTAGAAACTTAGAACAGAACTAAAAAGCTTTGTATTGTATACTTTAGAACCTTTCTTACCTTAATAACATAAAATAAACAAATTTTAGCTTAGTCAATTCCTGAAGAAGAAATAAAAAGACAAAAATGTAAAATTACAAAAACAATGTTGTAAAAATATAGAACTTAATAAATGCTATGTATTAACACATGGAATACAGTAACAAATTAAACTTTTGTCATTTTCATGTTTGTTTTTCAGGAAAGAAAGTTTTGAATGTTATAAATACATATAGAAAATTTAGGAAATTCAAATGCAATATTATAGCTTTACTTATTGTAATGTTACAGGCTCCTACCAAGTCTTATTCACAGAAAATTTCCTTGTTGGAGACAAAATACACTTCAAAAACAAAATCAGCTACAGAATAAGTGACGGTTGTACTTGTGACCTCAGAGGTAAGTAGCTCTCTGAATGGTTTAACTCAGTTTGAGATCTTATGATGCTAAAATATTAAGGTTTCATCCCTGTGGTAAGCACAGTGCAAATAGCCCTTTATAACTATGTAGCTTTGTTTTTAACAGCAAAACAAATGCACAGAGATAGGTGACATTAATAATGTTTTTAGTAAAAGTTTCATATAACAACACTAAAATCTACAACATTAAAAATAAAATATATTAAAACTATCTATGTATGGTATATATTTTAAATTTTATAAAAGCACTGCAGACTTGGTATATGTTTTCAATGGTTTGTTTTAGACCAAAGCCACACTGGGCTCTCTGCTGTGTCCACAATGGGGGAATCCAATCCCAGATTTTAGCATTGTAAGTCCATAAACTTACCACTCTTCTGCTGGAAGACATTTTCAATGGCTAGAATTTATTGTATAACATCTTAAACTTCATATTGGTGAATAAAGGATAAGAAATGAGTGTGTTTTTGCAACCATTTACTCATTGACGATCTGTTTGAAATTTGAAGATGTATTTTTGCCAAAGTAAGAGCAGTCAGTGAGTAATATAGTATCCATTTATTTACATTTACATGCTTTTAAACATGTTATGTTTTATTTTATATATTACATTTGAAAGTGCTAAGGTATAAGTTATTTATAGTGGTTCATTACTGAACATATAATTTTTTCCAGGACGATATTTCTTGTTAAGCTCCATCACTTCATGGACTAAAGAAGGTTATCAATACAGCCACATTCATTTGTCTAGTGATGTTTACTTCATCAAGTTCAATAACCGAAACCAAAAGAAAATCAAGAAAGCCTTAAAAAGATGTTTTTATTCTACTGGCAAGCACATTGTTTGTCCTACAGCACCCTACTCTTGTCCCACATGTCACAACTCTGTCAGTTTTGATTTAGTAAAAAGCTTCTGTGATCTGGATATAGGTTTGTCTTTTTTTGTGACTCATAAAACTATAGACCATTTACAGTTATGTCTCTAATTTTTTAAAAGGTACTCGGTATGTTTGACTAAAATAGTTATATGTAAAATGAACTAATAATCATTCAAAATTATAATGTAGAACCTTCCTCACTTTAATGACATAAGATAAAAAAAACTTATTTTAGTTAAGACAATTCCTGAAGAATAAATGCAAAGACAAAGACATAAAATTGGAAAAATATTTGTACAGGAACATTTTAAATTAGTTATGTGCATTAACAAGGAAATATGGTGAGACATTTACACCTGTGAATCAGTGATTTGTAATGAATAAATCTTAACTAAAACATCAAAGGACAGTGTTTTTTTTTCTCATGCTCAGAATTTAAGCTCTAATAAGATCAAACATATTTCTAAAACTATCATTTGCTTTTATTTTAGTTGTCAAAATGAAAATGAGCAATATGTTTGTACCCCAGTCAGGTAGGAATTTTTTGTCTTCAGTTGTAGGATTGCATTATTATGGTATGGTTAATTTAGTAAAAAGTGTAAACATAAAATTACATTGAAAGTGTGTCTTCTGCTGTAGGGACTATTTAAAAATACATTTATCACAACTTTTATAAAGCATGCATTTGTCACAGCTTTTATAAAGTATGCTTTTAATTTTAATCATATTATTTAAGTATATGAATAATACATCATTTATTTGAAAATTCTATAAAATATTGTGCCATATTAAAACTTTTCTTTTGCCTTTATCTGGTAAAGAAATATATTTCCAGATTAACCAGACTTCATCAAATATAACAATTATAAGGAGTGAAAACTAGTGGTTACATACATTGGTATTTGATTGTTGAGCTTAACAAGACTGCAGAATAATCAGAGGCATTGCTAGGTATTTAAAAGATTTGGGGGCTTGGGCCCATAGGTATGGAATTTTTGACATTTCAATATGATATTGATCATGGTTTTCTATTCTGATTTTTCAACACATCAACAACTGGGGATTTGAAGCACTGTCATATAGAATTGGGGCATGAGCTCCATGTGGTAGTGTCTAGTGATGCCTCTGAGAACAATAAAAAAAAAGATGTTGCAAATAGTCAAACAATTAATGTTATTTTTTTATACATGAGGAAATTTAATCATAAAATCAATTGGAAATCAGCCAAATGAATATATAAAACTGGAAATTATGTCAAAAAAAAAATTGTGGAAGGTTTGTATATCCAAAGGTTGCCAAACTTCAAACACTATTGAAGGTAAATTTAAGTTGAATCCTCTCTCTGACCTTATATGTTGTTTAGAGACTTGGAACTTCCATTAAAAATAAACACTGTATATGTTTCTCTCTTAGACAGAAGTGAACATGTGAAAGTGATAAAACTTGTATACAAATCTATTTAATTTTATTCTGAAATAGTGGTTCAAAATATTATTTCAGATTTGACCTGTTATTGTGTATTACCTACTATTATAATGTTAATATTCTTATAATAATTCTAAAAAATCTACAACATAACAGTTTCAAGTATCTTAATATGTATTTGAAACATAATTGTTATATAGGATAGACATTTTTGATAGGTTAATATAGTCTGGTTTTACTATGTTATAAATTCACCTTAAAAATAGAAGAGATAAAAACATGTATACAACAGTTCAATCTCAGAAGTTTTTAACTATGGTTAGATAAGATACAACTTTATTCTAGAATATTTATTAATTTTAAGCTCAAGCTATTTAATTGATAAGGCTTCTTTTATTTTTGGCATTTATATTTTTTTCTGTATCGAGGATTACAGGTTGAAATGAATGACCATGCTTGGACATATGTTCATAAACATGGGAGGGAGGGTTTGTTATGTTCTTTAACAAAGGTAGAAACTTATCTGTGGGTTTCACCAATGTAAACCTCATTGCATTGTTCTCAATTCACTTGATACACGGAACCAGAGGTATCATAATCTTGTTTTGTTTTTTTATAGAAGTTGCCCTAGTTTTCTGCCAGTAAGAAACACATAATGTACAGACAAATTAATTTTTCCAAAACTTTCTGATTGAATATGACACTTTTAGGATCAAATGAATTTTGCAATAAATAGGATGTTTATTATTACTTGACTTGAGACTTCACTTTGGTTTATTTTGTTTAGTTTAGAGAAGATTTTGTAAATGGTTTCTAGAGGAAAATCATTTTTGGTTAGTAACTCTGTTTTAAATTTGTCAAGGTCTGATTGAAAATGTTCATGACTAGAACAAATAGTTTTGATAGAATGGTACAGAGTATTTGCAATGCTTAGGTTTTGAGAAGGGTCATGGTAGGAATTCAAAGGTACATGTAAAACTATATGAGTGTCCTTATGATAATTAGATGTGCACAACTTGTTATCATGTCACTTAACAAGAGCATTCAGGAATGGAAATGTATGACTTTTTTCATGTTCACTTGTTTAATGTCAGAATGGATCATGTTTATGTGTGAAGAGAATTCTTCAATGGATGAGTAATCATTGAAGCCAGTAAATATATTATTGACATATCCTATCCAGAAGGTTGATTCAATGGATGAGGAATCATTGAAGCCAGTAAATATATCATTGACATATCCTATCCAGAAGGTTGGTGGATGAACGGACATAAAACTAGCTTGATCTTCAATTTTGATCAGAAATATGTTTGTGAGAATGAGACCTTCAGATTGAAAATTGTTGCAGAACATGGTGAAATGGAATTTTTTCATAATCTCACAAGAAAGTTAAGATCTCAGAGAAGGATCATTTATGAAACAATCAAGAGTGTAGTTCACTGCTTCAGAAACCATTACTTGTGGGAACAAGTTTTTGTGTTAAAACTGACAATAACAGCAAGTGTGTGAAAATGTTTCAGTTTGTGACAAATGTTTCTGAATTTTTAACAAATGATGAAGCACAGCTGAGATAAAGAGAAAATAGCCAAGCTAAGCATTTGCCAAAGTTGAAATTAATCATTAATATTCCTGAATTATAGATTTATGGGAGGATGAAATTCATGACTATGTCAATCATTTCATTTATTTTATGGATCCTTTGAAGTTGATAATTGATAATTTGGCAAATATATAAATTATACACTTATCAATCTTCTGACTTTTTTATGAACATTAGAAAGAGCATTAGAAGTACTCAAAAGGCTATTTTAGGTTTATTTTTAGTTACTTTGTTGATTGTATTCTTGTGAGGGTTTTTAGCATTGAGTGTGTACTTTTTTGATTATTCAGTAAAAGTAAGGGAAAGCTAAGCTCATTTAACAATAAGGAAAAATGTTTATTTCAATGACTGTTACACAGAGATTGAAACAAGCAACATTTGATGATAGTCTTAACTCACAAGTAAAACTAAACATAAGTTACTTATTAAATTTACTCTGGTATACATATATGGCACAAACTCAGAACCCAACAAAACTGTACAGTAGTGACTTGACTGACTAATTAACTCACTGGCTGATATAATCAGTCATTCATAAGCTCACTCATGTTTTTGTATGCCACAATATTTCACCTACAAACCTCCCACAAAAGTCAAGACGTCACACATCATCATTATGTCATGCTAAAACTCCTTCTAGAAAATAAAAAATCTAAATTAAAATAATATAAACACAGCCTACAGCATCACACTGTATACCTTTTTCAAACAAGTTAAAATACAGTAACTGTTTGATTGTATTTTTATAATAAAAAATGTTCTTTAAAATGCATAATAATTTTAGTATGTTTTATATTGTGTCTATCTTAAATATAACAGTTCTGTAATAATTTCTGTTATCGTGTTAACATCAAAACTTTTGCAAGTATTACATATATATATTAGATCCAACTGTGTACAATAACTGGAAACTGTAAAACACTAGTCAAGTTTTTTTAAATAAGTAATGCACAAAGGTAATGATTTTTGGAAAGAAACCCTGAAACACCACACATAATCAGTCTTTCAATCATACAAATGTAGTATATTAAATTTTCATTTTGTAAGATATCATTATACTATATAGTTAGAATATTAGTTAAATAAAATTAGGAATGTCAATGTAAGAAATAAGCATTTTCTTTAATGAAAGAGAAACGAATGTAGACATTATTAGTGGCAATATAGATAATTACTCATGGCTAAAGCTGTTTTTTAATTTAGAGGAAAGATTCTTCACAAGTATGTGTTCAACATTTGATGTTCAGGAAGTTTACAGAGGGAACCCTTCCAGGTTTCATAAGCATGTTGATGCTGCAATTCGTCGACATTGTTCTTGTGATTTATTTAATGAGGGTTGGTATAAATAAGTAACTTTGTTTTTGTAAAAATTAATATTACATATTTTTTAGTTTTTGTTCTGAATAAAATTAGGTTATGTTAATGTTTCTTTTTCATAGGTACTTTAGATTTATCATGTGAATTTCTTCATTTTCCAAAATTATAAATTCCATACCTACTGCTACAGAATAAATGTTGATTAAAATTATTTATGGCATATTTCTGAGTTTAGCTCAGATTCTTTACAAAGATTGACTGTGCATTATTTTTTCGAATATTTTATAATGAATTTAGGAAGAGATATATTTAATTTTCTTACACAGTGTTTGGTTGTAACACATTTTAAAAGTTTTAGTCTCAAAGAAACACTAAGCTATGTACAGCATGTAAAAAATAATTTTTAATCTCCATAATCTATTTGAATTTCTTTCTTTTTTTTTAGATTATTACAGCACACAGCTAAGTATAGCATAATGATAGTACAGTACAATGTGATATACTAGTTTGTTTCACTTTTGTAATATTAATTTACTTTCTCTACTTGACATTGGATCAGAATTAAATTTTCTAAATGTAGTCTCTTTGTTATAATTAAGGTGGTTCAAAATTACAATACTTATCTTGTTGTAAAATTATATTAACATTCTTTTATTTTTCAAATTTTTAAGGCTTTTTCTCTAGTAATGTTAGAAACACATGGATTAGGATTAAACCTATGAAAATTATAACAAAATTACAGTATGAATAAGTTTTATGAAAATGATTATGTTTTGGTCATATCAAAAAATATTTGGATGTTGTATAAGTGGCTCAAAAGATTTCAAAATTCAACAAAATGTATTTTTTTATGTTTTTATGATGGGAAATTGAAAATGTTAAACTCATAGTTAAATTCCATTTTTCTGTGGAATTTAACTGGTATTCAGATAGATAGGAAATAAGTTTCTGATTTATTCAAAAAGAAAGACTTTTTTCTTTTGAAAATATTTCAGTTTTTCCTTTTTTTTTAACAAAGATAGCTAGCATTTAATTTGATTATTTTCAATCCAATGTGTAGATTCATAAAACCAAGAAAACATACTTCACATTTTAAATGGTTAGAAGTATGTCATAACTGTTGTTGTAACTTGATTTAGGGAATATTTATGTTTAAACTAAAAGAACGTTATTAGCAAAGTATAATACTATTTAATCTTATTGGAAAATATCTAAACTTAAAGCATTTAAGAATAGCCTTGTTGTTTCATGCAAAAGGTTTAAACGAAATTTATTTTTATGATGTTTTAAATAACATGTTTTAGTTCTCTGAGAAAACTACTTGACTAATTAGGGCACTTCAAAGTCATCAGCCATTCTAATGATGAATAATAACTGAGAGTTAAACTATGCACATTGTCTTTACTTTTGAATAAATTTTAGATGTTTTACATATTTAAAACAGTTTTTACATAAAATTCAATATATGGTGTAATCATACTATCTGTTTTACTGTTTTATGCTACACATTTGGATTCCCTTGGTGTGCATTGAAATTTTATATATGTATGTATATATAAATATTAGTCAAATTCCAATTGTCAGCATAAATTCTCATATACAATTTTTTTTTTATTCCAGCACCAATGGATGTACTTATATTATCAACAGAAAAGGCTTGGATTGCAACTGAATCTAAATACAACCAGCTGAAACTTGGAAATGAAGTTCATGTTTTGTCTTTTAGTGACAAGAATCTTGGGATAAAGGAAATGATAAAAAACTGTAACTATTCTTCTGACATTCAAACTTATACTCATTCTATTTTGCCAAAGCCTACATCTAAAACACCATCTAATATCAGAGAAGAGTGTCCATTCACAAACCAAACATCATGCCCAGAATGTCCATCAGTTCCATCCATTGACCTCTTAAAAACATATTGTCTAGCAAAATATGGTTAGTGTAAAATGTATTTGTAACTATAACTTATACACAGCTGAAATTAATTTACTAATGAAAGTATAGATCTGAATTCTGTGATTTTATTTGAGAAATTATTGCACAGTTTTCTTTGAATTCATTACATACTTATTTGATTTGGTATGTAGTTTTTTCCTTAATGTAAGAAAATAATTCAAAGTACTTGTTCCATTTAAGTTTCTAAGACTCATCATCTCATCTAGGTCATTAAGAATAAAGATGTTTCATATATTTTTCAAATGTGGTTATTATATTCATCAGTTTTAAAGAAAATTTTCAAATCATTGAATCTTTGTACTTCTTTTAGATGATTCTGAATCAATATCTATTATTTTTCATTACTCCTTATTTAGTTCTTAATTAAATTTAATAAAAGATGGCATGTATCTTTGTACCTTATATTTTAACATTAAATAATATAAAAGGGATGAACTTCTTGAAAAGTTCATAGGTTTCTTATTGTGTAATACTTATATGATAAACATATATTAAATGTGGTTTTTTCTTTTACCATAGTTTTAGCAGTAAAGCTGAGAACAATGAAAGCCTATTTTCTCTAAAGAATTTGGTTTATTTGCAGTAATAAAACATACCAACTTAATAATTTACTGACTGATTCATCATTTTCATTATGTAGCTGCTGTTGTTACCTTTTCCACTGATATTTCAGACAAAGTTTCGAAAGAACCAAGTGAGTTGTTTTAACTGCTTATCACTTATTTTATAGTTTCAGTTGCAGATAAGATATTTTGATATCCTATAATGGATAGATATTGTGAAACAATTACCATGTTACAAGTAGTATTTATATAGCTACAAGAAGTATGCAGTCAGTTTCAAAAGTGTACAGATCAGCAACTTAAGTAACTTTATATGAGAACTAGCTGAGTTACCTGGTATTGCACGGTGAAAATTTAGATTTGAAATGTATAGATCAGTGTTTTTTCAGCAAATTATTCAGTAAGTAAACAAAAGCTGTGATGCAAGAAATAAAAAAGCATTTAATCGAACAAAGCTTTATTTGAAATTAGATCGTGTTTGAGCTTGTCTTGTTCTTTGAGCCTGAAGTCGTACATCATGTTGCTCCTCTGTTTCTTGCTCTCTGTAAGATATTTGTCGTAATTTTTGTGCTTGAACTCTGGTTTCACGTTGTTCAGAAGTTTCTTGTTGTCTATATCCAGCTTGCCTTGATGATTCTGACTGAACTCTGGCTTTGTGCTGTTCAACAGTTTCTTGCTGTCTTTGAGTAGCCTGCCTTTCAGCTTGAGCTCAAAGTCTAACTTTATGTTGTTCCAAATTCTCTTCCTGTATTTGAGCAGCCTGTCTTGCAGCTTGTGCCAGAAGTCTTTGATTGCGTTCTTCTGCTGTTTCAGCTGCTCTCTTTGCTTGCTTTCTTTTAGTGGCAGAAGACTTTCCATAGAAAGGGCGTTTCTTGGGTGGCATAATCACTTGTATCACTAAACAATAATTTGCAATTCACAAAGTTACTAAATCACTTAGCACTATTTAAAGAAAACCGTTTTTGGAAATACTGAATTGACAGCAAGGTGATTTGAGTGTCTCCTGCCATAATGCTTTCTATGTGCAAAACGTGCTTATGTTCTTATGTTTATTACAAAAAAAATGGCTCAATAATCATTAATTGTCAATTTCGTCATTAAATACTATACCAAACACAAAATAAATAGCACCATTACATTTCTTGCACAAACACTGGTAATTATGAAGTTATTTTTAAAATTTGTAAGTTCAACCATATTGTTTCCTATAGCAAACAAAATAAACAAATAGACAAACTTCCTCTTTTATATGTATAGATAAGTAAAATATAGGTTTATTAATGATGAAATACAACATTCGTTAATTCCATTACATACAAAAGTGCTTTAGTAATTTATCATGATCTTTAAATTCAAAGTAGTTACAATAGTGACTTATACACTTCAAAATATTAACTCCTCAAAAAGTAGTATGAAACTTACTTAGAAGCCGACTTTCACTCCACTTATTATTATTCTATTAAGGGTGACTCAGACTGACGACTTTCTAGTTGACAGTCTTAAAGACTGACTGGCTTACTATTTTTTAACCTAGCTTTTGTAATTTTTTAGTTGCAGTGGAGTGCATGATTGTGAACTGCATGGAACTGTTTAGCTAATTCTAAGTTTTCCCTAATGAGGGCTGCAGTACTTTGCCTCGAGGTTCTAGGAATTTTCCCACAATATTTACATCACTTAGAAGCTAGTTATATTCATTGCTGTCAATAGTATTTGTATTCTACCCTCTAGTTATCAAACATTGGACACCCTTCTAGGCTTTTGCTTTCATTAGAAATTATCAATTTATATTTGTATCACACATATTTTATTTCACACAGCTAACCAAATGTAAATATTCCAAAATTCCATCACTAACAAGTGTTAAATGACATAGTGCAGTTCCATTTAATGGTGTGGAGTGGAATATTATCAAACTTAATCAAAATGAAACTCGTTTATTTTAGTATCAAATTTGCTCACCTCAATATCCTTGCACTGTCAGATTTGTAATTCTGGATATGCGCAAGAGGCTGATGGTCCATCCCGATGATCATCTTCTTCCCATAGAGTTAGTTCTGGAGTTTCTGGATGGCAAATATAATGGCCAGACACTCTCATTCAATCACAGAGTAGTTCTTATTACTCAACAGCTTTTTACTAACATACATTATGGGAACAGTCCATCTACATGTTCTTATAGAAGTAATGCTCTAATTCCAACGTATGATGCATTGACATGAACAGTAAATGGTTTATTGAAGTGTGGCATAGTAAGGATTGGCAAATTTCCTAACATGTTCTTCAACTTCTAGAATGTCATCTGCTGTGGTTATTCCTACTTCACCTTGTTGGGTTGGTGCAGCAACTTCAGCATAGTTTGGGATAAACTTCCTGTAGTATCCCACTAATACCAGGAAGGATCTAACTTGCTGCTTGGTGATCAGAGCTGGTGCATCTTGTATGCAAGTTAGCTTCTCCTCTTACATGGCTATCTGTTGGTCACCCACCTTCTGTTCAAAAAATTCCAGCACAGAATAACAAATGTAGCATTTAGATAGTCGGATGATCAGACCCACTGCCCTCACTTGCATGAACAGCTCTCTGAGTTTCATCAGGTGGTCTTCCCATCTGGTTGTGTAGGTCGAATGTCATCCACATAATGCTTGATGGAGATGTTTTTGTGCAACATCTTCCTCATCATGAGGTTCAATGTCACTACTGAGTTGACCCTTTTGCCCTGGGTAGATTAAAGTGCACGTTTCATGACATTTTGGAGCATTATTTTCAAAATTTTATTAAATAACATTTTTACTACTTACATCAATGAAATTGGCGTCAAAACGTAGTTTATAATTTAAATTTTAATATTATATGTTTTTATTTCTTAATTTAAAAGGAAATGTAAAGAAAAAAATTTTAAATATCAATTTTTGTTTATCACATAACACATCCAGTTGTCTTATTGTTCAGTTTCCATTTTATTATGCCCACTATACAACATATACAAGTAGCTGACGAATTAGAAACTCAAACTTGAGATATAGACAAGCTAAATATAAAATAAGAACCTCCCTTCTCTATGATTTGCTGAGATAGCAATATTTTTATTGAATCTACTAGTGGCTCCTCCCACTGCACCAATCTTTTGAAAGTTCTTGTCTAGTCCCACCTACTACTAATTAGCTCCTGTTTATAAACAATAGAAAGAACATTTTCACCTCTACGTAACTCTGACAGTTGTTTATAAATAGCTTGAAGGAGAAAATAATAATTCTGTCACAACTGTTGAATTGTGATGAATAAGTTGTTGCTCTGAATAGGAATGGGATTTTTGTTAGCCCACATATAGTTTATTTAGAGACCCAACTAAATTACAGGAATTTTGAGTGTACTAATACAGTATTTTGATAACTTTTTGGTCTTCAAAAATTAATAGTTGAAGCCTACAAAAATTAGTATCTCTACACTCTCCACCCAGTAGAATAAACAAGGCTTACGGCAAGGCTTAGCACATTCAATGCACGAGCGCAACATTTCGTAACATGGTTACGTATTCAAAATCTTTGTTTTTCAGTGTATTTCTCATTTACTTTCTATGTTTTGAGAAATATAACTACAATTTAAGCATTTATGAGTAAATATTTATATACATATGTAATGTGCGATAGCCAAAATCTCACTGTAATTTTCAGTATACTTGTATTATGGTAACATTTGTATTTTGTAGGCCAATACATAGTTATGCCCACTGAATTTGTTTTATTCTAATTGTCTAAACTGAGGTAAGTTAAAACCAAATTATACAACATCAGAAACTTGACAACTTTTAAACAAGTTTATTCATAACATTTAGAAAGGTAAAACAATTTACAAATATCGGGAAATAGTATTATGCACAAATGTTTATACATGCCTAAAGGAATAATGGATTTACAATCTGCTTGAATCAAAAACACATACATAAAGTTGTGAACAGAATAAAACTGTTTATATATGCCTAAGAGGAATAATGTACATACAAATTGCATGAATAAAAAACAAACACATGAAGTTGTGCAAAGAAAAAGCTGTGTGAATGAATGGAAATTTATAGATATGTATTTTATTACAAACATTTAAGAAAACTGCAAAAGCCATACTTGTGATAGCATATACGGTATAACATTATAATACATGCCTAAAAGGAATAATGCAGTTACAAATTGCATGAACCAAAAACAAACACATGAAGTTCTGTGAAGAAAAAGCTGCATGAATGAATGAATGGAAATTTATAGATATGTATTTTATTACAAACGTTTAAGAAAACTGCAAAAGCCATACTTATGATAGCATATAAAGTATAATATTATACACTGATTTGACATATGAAAGGGACCATCACTATTGTACATATAAGTGTATGAATACTAAAATAAACTTTACCAACATATTTAAGTCAAAAAACAATCAAAAGATGCTACTGAGATTTGTTTATTTTTTTAGAAAAACAAAAACTGTTTACAGAGGAAAAGAGCAGACTTTTACCTTGTACATGATATTAACTTCTTTTAAGACTAACACTTGTGTGATACTCTTCGAAATGTTTCATACACAGAAATTCATCACACATTTTATATTTTATAAGAACTTTATTTTCAGGAAGGCATAGTCTGCATCTTTTTTTGTTACCTGTGTCAACAAGTGTAGGGAAGTGTCTGCCAAGAGTAAGTCTCAGAGGTTATGATTCCTGTACAGTTCTAGAGAGTGGTATACCTAAAGGATCTGGTCTGTTTTGAAATAGAGGCTCAACAAGAGCTGTGACCAGGTCCATTCTGAAGGCCTTTTGGGATAATGCTGGCTGGTTGGTCTGTTGTTTGTACAAAATGTAAGCATTTACAATTTTCAAGTCCAAAAGTAAAAAAAAACAGTTTTTTATACAATTTTATTGTCCTTTGTGCAGTGGAGTAGTAACTTAAGTGTTGATCATTCAGGTCCACTCCTCCCATAAACTTACTGCAGTCCACAATTAACTCAGCATACCTCCCTCTTCTTGTAACAGTTGTCATAGTATTAGAGTGTAAAGTTCAAAGTACGTAAATGTCTCATTTGTCATTCCACTTTACAGCTGTCAGAGTTCCACATTTAAAAAATCACGCTTCTCCTCTCTGTG